TCGGAATTGAGGTTTTTAGTCACCTCCCCCCCCCTCTATGAACTGCCAGTAATTTACAGTTCAGCTTGTGTCTAGATTTTGGCTTTTCTTCCTCTTGCTTCGGTAAGAATAACCCGCCACGTGAAAGCAGTGAGTAGGGCTTCTTCAGCAGAGGCTATTTGAGACGGTTTGTCGTATAGGAGCATTTCGCGAGTTGCAAGGGAAAGTGATCAGCCAAAATCCCAGACACCCACCTGTAACCATACTGAGGCTTACGGATTCATCTCAGAACTATAGTATTGATATACGTGGTTTTACGAAGATGNGGTGGTTATTCATGAAGAGGTGAACATTCCTTCATTGATTAAATTATCGGAGGCGATTAGTGGCGACATCCCTGGATGTGTTGTTTTTTTGACGAGCGATCTCTCTGTGAAAAAGGCCACAACTGTTCTTGGAAATATCTTGACTTGTGCTTATTTGGCCCACCTCCGGGTAGGATCATCGCCTTCACTCTTTTATTGTATTGGTTGAACTCGACTGTGCAACAGCTAGCCATGTCACATCGAAGCAGAAAAAGTGATACTGTGGATGCCACTTTATACCATTCATGCCTCTGAAAGCCTCAGTATGTTCTAGGTGAGTGTCTTAGTTTGTGGCTAGTCACCCTTCGTTTGTCCCTCACGAAATGCTCCCATAAGACCGAGAGTCTCAAATAGGCTCTGCTGAGGAAGCTCGGCTCATTGAATTCTCGTGGTGGAGGTTTTTCAAAGCACCGAAGCGAGAGAACGAAAAGCCAATATCCGGGGTTATAATCGGGTAGGTGAAGCCCTGGCAGTTCACCTAGGGGAATGGGCTCAAAAACATGATTCCAAAACAAACAAAAAGAGACGTGCATACCACGCCCACTCACACCTTTCTGGTTGTGGCAGTGGTCACCGACTCAATTGGATATCGAGGTGTATTGGGCACCTTGCACGCTTAACCTCGTCCAAAGGGCGTATGATCCAGTGAACTACACATCAGCCCCCAATGGATTGCTGTTTTCACACACTATCTCGCTACCTTGCTGACCAGGCTTTNCAGGCTTTGGCTAGCCAAAAACTTCGGTTGTGTATTCTCTGCGAAGATTCACCTGCCTTAGCCTGGGCAATCTGGCAGTATTCCGATCATCAACAAGTCACAGAGCTTTTTTTATTAGGATTATTGTATTAGAATTTGTTTGGTACAGTCTGGATTCAAACGTGTGTGAAACACAATATACCTATGATTCTTCAAAGATTCTTCAAAGACTTATCCTCACGAGGAGAAAGTTGCCTAGATGAAATCAATTAGTCATCTACCGTTCCGTCACAGGCTTATATAATAGAGAATATTGAGGATGAATCACACGAACGTGAGAACGAACAAGTCAGTGGGGGAACTTTACCACATAAATGCTGGAGCGTGAATGAGCAACTTGCCTAGGGTTCCAGTAGGATGGGTATAATGTTAAGCTGAGATCTAGCGAAGCTGTTTATCATCAAAGTTGAGTGTCCGTGTCGAGATTTCAGCCTCAAACTTCATGTATCGGTGCACTCGAGTGATAGTCAGTTAACTTAGCGAAAGGACAGTCTTACGTGTATTGTATGTTTATGTTAACGGTAATGACACAACGCTTTCTTCGAAGTATATATAACTATAACCGCCTAATTTTAGCATCGTCTTCTAAACAAACCATCTCTATTTGTGTTTCTTTTTTGCAGGAGGACTTACGCTCTTTGTGTTCCAATTACTGGTGCTATAATCTGCAATTGGCTTATCATGGAGTAATGCATGGGGCACATTCGTACATTTTGGCATCTCGTTCTAAACTGTTCGCCGAAGTTTTGTGTACCCTGTATAGTCTACACACAGGTCATAGTCAGACAAGTGCAATAGCACCAAACTTAACCATTATTATTCCCGGACGTCATGATGCACGACCGGCTGTGATCACAAGTAATCCGCTCAGACACGTTTCTGCGCTTTCGCGTACTGGTATCACCTCGCCCGATTTAGTTCCATCTGTTGTGGATGAGACATCTTGGCATTCCAAGAAATCACCGTACGACGAACCACACACTCCTCCGAATCACTCAACACCAGTTGATCCACTTTACTTCGATGTACAACCCAAATCTGAACAAGAACGGAAATTCCGAGCGTTTTTACAAGATATTTATTGCGGAGTTAAACGTTCAGATCCGACCACGGATCAGCATACCAAGTGCTGTTCTCCCAGAAAATCCAAACCGGATCTTCTTTGCGGTTCCATCACAACCACACACCCGAGCAGTCTTTTCGGTCTCTATGAGGAGTTGTCTCGTTTTGAATCCTCGCTTGTGAATCTTTCTGGACCGCTGGCGCCCGATTGTAAACTGATTTTTGCTTCAATCGCAGCGCCGCCTGCCAATCCGAACAATTTGCATATGTTGTGCCACGCCGGTGTCCTTGCTGCACGATCTCAATTTCTTCGCCGTTTGCTCATCCGACGTTACCAGTTAGGTGCATCTCCGAATGAGATGACAACAATCGTGCTGGACGGATCACTGGTTCAACCACATTTTGCCCAAACATTACTTCACTTTTTTTACACGGATCAATTACCGTTGAATCACCTGGCTCGGACGATGCCAGAAGATCAACGTTCAGCTAACAGTAAATCGGGTTTGTCTGATCCCGCTGTCCGTTCTACCGGTGACTCGGTTCTAGAGGCACATTTACTTTGGCACCGGACACATCGACTCTGTCCGAGTGGATCCTGTTGTCAGGGTAATTTGGATGAAGATCGTGTGACAGATCAGTGGCATCAAGAGTTACAAATGAACCAATTACCTATACTGCGGACAAACACTCCACGTCAACTTTGCACAATCCGCTTTTGTCTGGCCTGCCCTTTCTGCTTGGCGCTGATTCTTGAATTACATCCAGTGGGACAATATTTGGAGTTTCCTCGATTGACCGAAGGTTAGGTAGACGTGACTACATATTTTATTTTCCCGGATTTCATACAATGCGTTTAGTTTTTCTATAGACTGCCTCTTTCATTTTGTGGGGTATGCGTGTGTTCCATTGTTTTCAATAAACTAGGGGACAGGAAAAACGAGAGGTCTTGTGTCCATCCTGCAAAAGGGTCAACTCAAGGTTGTGGGTTTATACCCCANTACCCCATAAATCATAAATTACGGTTTTTTATTGTTAGATGACGTTAACGGGATTGTGTTTTTTTGATGCAGTATTTTGCAGCTTTTCAAGAAATAATTGATGGAGGTTAAATTTAACATATCAACTATTTGATTACAGCGTGGTGCTACTGTGCTCCATTAAAATTGCATCAGTTTAACGTCTGTGTCTGTCATCGTCGTTGTCTGATTGGTGAATCCTACTAACAATCCGGTTAGTTTCCAAACCGAACCGGTGGATCAATGCTGCCTTTGTTTCGTACACATTGTTTCTCAGGGTACATTGAAAACTGACCAGAGCTCATACTTCCTTATCCCGGTCACAGCTAATCCTACCTCATTCCGTACAATTTAACTGTTCTTTTCGAACAAATGTCATCTGTTGGTAGAATCATTTGTTTGCTTTGAAGGGGTTATGCTTATGCCACAAACAAAACAACAGTGCAAAGTTATTAACCTTCACTAAACTATTTATGATCATCCTAAAGGAATCGGCAGAAGAGTTCGGTGCCGCACCATGGCAAATTTAGTATGAACACAGAGTGAACGTGAATAATAGGTTCCCAATAAAGACAACGAACCGTCTGGCTCTTTTGACCATAAAATATTGGCTCGCTGGTTTGAAAATCAAACTCAAATCCCTCTTTCTGTCCGTCCCCATTTTGCTTTCTGTAACAATCGTCCGTCAGAAGTATCATTGTTTCCCATATCTACTCCCCCCTCCTTCGATCGGACTATGAAGGTAACCGTTTTACCAGTCACTTTATCCATTGACTCCTTTTGTCTCTTACCTATCTCCCATCGGTTTCTACGATCCAGGGTAAATATACCCGATTGGTTTATTATTCTGCTTGTTGTTTGTCGTTTTTGTTTGATTCTACCGGTGATTTCAGTGTTTTTAATGACCAAAGATGAATTCCGCAATGATTCCTGTTGATTTATTCCAGATTTACCGCACAGCTTTTTCTGCCGCGGATAAATAAACAATAAAATGGGTGACGGTGAAGCATGTTAAGCAAAAAAACTTCCCGCTTGATACCACCTATCGATTGTGATCTTCAAGAATAACACCGTTTTCCAATGCGCGAACGACTTATGTAGTTCGCGGTTCGCAATCATGACTTATGAAACAGAGTCCGTAAGGTTATGAACACCAGAACTGTTGACTGTCTTCATTTATTTTTGCAGTAGGGTCGGTGGTATAAGCTTGATAAAAGTTTCTCGGCGATTTCAACATACACATTCTTTCGGGTTGACAACACTAAAACGCCATTTCGTGAAGATAAAGATCAGGTCGATTTGCAGGATCAAAATAACTACATTTACAAAATCAGCTGTAAAGAATGCCCCGCAGAATACATTTGGCGGACCAGTAAGCAACTTAAGACAAGAATAACCGAACATAAGAGAAAATAAAAACACCGGCCCGCGAACAAAGCAACCCTGGCAAAACTAGAACGAGACTCAGCGATCGCTCTTCACGCCATAACCGAAGGTCACACCATAGACTACGACAACCTGAAAATACTCCAACTTGGATTTCAACCATGCATTGAGCTTCAAAACACGTTACCGGTGACAAACCCTCCGCTTAACAACATTCTATAATCCTTCCATTATGGAGTAGACAATGGCACAGTCAGTTTTAGGGGGAGCAATCAATCAAGGGGCGGTTATAAAATACTACGAAGTAGGAATTTTCGGGCGGCCATAATGAGATTTCAGTTTACGCAATCCAGGGTGGTGTGATGATGACATACATGGTTGAGACAGATTGTCATCCATTGTTTTCAGTTGTCTGCGGTCTATCAAGTGATGGAAAGATACTTGAAGAAGAAGATAAGTCGTTCGGCAGAGGTTGGATCAGAACATATAGATCACGCGTCGACCCGCCTGAAACCTTTATCAGTACCGAGTCTCGGTTGCATGGCGTTAGCCGTTTGTTGTACGAGGATAAACTGATCTTCACTCCTGTTGCATCTAACATGTGAAAAAAAACAGAAATATATTTTGTCTACTGTGCTCGATTGGTATACTTCAACCAGCAGTAATATGCCAATCGAGAAAGAAGCTGTTGGGACGAAGATCATTGATATTCTCGTGTGTTAGGAGGCCTGAAAGGTCGATAGCCGACCATGCGTCCTGTATTTCGCCTAGGTAGCTTCCGCTCCTAGAAATGTCATTCGTTCACGAACTTAGTGCTAGTCCGCTGTTCTCGTGTTCCCACGTGCTACTGGTGTTACTGTGCCATATCTTGTGTTCTCTGCACTTGTGGTGTTCACCTGTGATATAGTGCTGTGCAACATAATAGTAGGCAATGGATATAAGCGGAGTAAAACATAACAGAAGCCTATACGGAGGATATGATTCCCTACTGTCAGCACGACTCCTTTATCCATCGCTTCTACCAACAGTACTCTTCTTTTTCATTGCTGGTTGTAGTCGGAAGATTTTGTGCTTGTTAAAAGGAACCTGGGAAAAAGTAACTTTTTCATCGATACTCAGAAGAAGCCCGCGCGCAAAATTCTTGTCGTCTGCAATCTTAAATTGTATCTGACATGAGTTGCGTGTGCTTTTCAGTTTTCATGGGACTTCACACATGCACTTATCCATTGAGCATCAGAGCAAAACTGAGTGGTTCCGAAGAAACCCCCTTTTCTTGGAAAAATATTCGATTTCAATGTTCAAAACCTCTGTTTTTTTATCTGTTTTTGAGGTGAACATATGTAAGGTCATTTTCCCGCTGCTCTACGTTATCAACTCAAAGGATTTATGTGATTCACTAGTTCAAGTTCCGCAATCTGTTTGCATGGTAGCTTATTGCACACGTTCGGTTTGCATCTATATATGTATGCATCAATGGTTCTCTCTCTTTCGAAAGAGTTGCTAACTGCGATGACACTCTATTTCTCTGTTGAACAGCTTGTGAAGATGTAGTTGTTCGTGCGCTACGCCTTCCTCATCAAGACATTGCAGCTGTCGGTCACAAGGAACAGTCTGTTCGTTCTTGGGATCATCGACTCAGTCATCCTCATTGCAACTGTACCACGGGATTTCGGGAAACACAGCAGTTAATGACTCCGATCAGCCTGGCGGTCGGACTCATCCAGTGGGCTGATGTGGCTTCGTCTGCTCGTCTGTNTCCATCCAGTTCCGATTCACTCAATATATCCGCCGGACCTCCCACTTCTGAATCCGTTAATCCGGTATCTACTGGACTGACAGACACGGTGCCTGATCTGACCGATAACACTGATTCGAGATCTGATTCTCGAGGTACTCGGTTAAATTGTGATGGACTTACGTCATTAACAACTCCCATGTCGCAGGCTTATTCAGATGATGGATCAACAACACGCTATTTGCATCGACAAGCCATGCATTGTTTGCGACAACATTTCATGCTTTTGGCTCGCTCTCCAAATGTACTTAGCAGACTTACTCCAAAACAATTAAATGAACTTTTGGATTCGGATTTCGTTCAAGTGAGTATTTCCATTGGAATTTTCGGTAATTCATCCCACCCAAGGTATTGCAGTGAAATATCTTCGTTATTGAGAGATAAATGCATCAATTTCAATTTTTTTATTGCATCAAATTGAGGTATTCGATAATGAGGTTGTTCCCCTTAGATCAGTACAGTCCAATTTGAACAGTTGGTGGATTGCACTCCATGTCTTCAGTTAGTGCAGTTTTCACACTCATTAACCGTGCTCCATCATGCGGCCTTACTTTGTATGTATCTTTTTGCTATCCTTTACCGGCCTATAAGGAAAACTACTATAGAGGAAACTCACACAGAGTAGGAACAGTATAAGGTTCAGTTAAAGTGATCAAACTGCAGGTATCGGTGTATTCAATACTCAGCCACAAAGCCGCTCATTTCCACTCAAGCGTATCCTTCAAGGCAATAGTTGACATGCTCACGGTGAAGTGATTTAAGCCCTTTTGTACCCCTATGCACAGAACAGGATAGCTCTCATAGGTGGTAGATTCAAGCGTATCTGAAAGGTCAAATACACAGCAGCCAGTCGAAGTACCTAGCGAAAGATCACGAGCGACTCTCGTGTTCATCTTTGGGGAGATTTGTGTTAGAAATCAACTCAGAGAAAATTGGTTTAGTGTGCGAGGAATACTTTCAAATCCGCGTGAAACGGTTTTGCCCCGAGGTATCTTTTGCATAATGACACAAATCGTAATACCTCGCTGTACGACTGTCACCCATCCAGAGCGAACAACGTTCCGCCTAATAAGTTGCTTCTCGCCTTTCCATGTGGACCGAAAGCCCACTCTAAGATATTCGATGCTAACTAGAGATACAGTATGAAAATATGTGTAAATCTCTCATGGCGGGCCGGAAAAATCCCCCTACAGGTTTTTNAGGTTTTTTGATCACTTCTTCACTACCTTGTCAGTCCAGCCCTGCAGCTTTTACTGGGATTCCCGAAAAAGCTTATTTCTCAGGATAAGTTCTCGTCACGTATACATTGTCGTGCTGATTCGCGCACCAGTATCAAATCAGAAAAAAAGGAACAACCGTTCGGGAGAGGTTGAAGGAATTTACTATTGACAACTTGCTCGTAACACAACAGCTGTTCGACTTCAACTTCGTCCTCAACTGAAACTGTCGTCCAAACTAATTCCACTCCGTTTTTGAATTCGAATGGTCTACTTGATCTACTCATTTTAATTGTGTGATTGATTTTTCTCGGTCAACGGAATGGAGTAATGTGCACATCGTAAACTAATTAAAGTGTTGATTGTACATTTTCCAATCAGTTTTCATGTTTTAGCCGTTCTGACTGAGGAAATGCCATTGCTAGTTAATGAGTCCTTGTGTGATTTTCCAAAAAATTGCTCACTACTGAACAACAGGTCATCCTGACTATGGAATTCAGCTCTTCCACCGTTCTTTGTACCATGATGTACATTAAATAATGCGAGCTTCATATATTTGCTGTGGTCCCTGATGTCCTCCACATAAGATATCTGTCCGTTATTCTGAATCGCTTGCATTTTGGGGTTTGACTCTGTCCACATTTCATGAGAAACTAAGTTATTCTAATGATTTGCTATATATGTGCGCTTCTTACCGAGCTGTTTGAAACAGGCTTTTCAAGTAACAAGTTTAATGGATTACACATGACCTCTAACAAATAACTCACTGTAAAGCATCATGACTAATAATACTACATACTTGCTCTGCGTTGATAATGACGAAGGGAATGAAAAAGTATATCCGAAAAGAAAAAAATAGTGCTCTAAAAGGATTAGGGCTCCACAGATAGGATAAAAGTAAAAAACTATGATGCAAGCTCCATTCCGCGACAAAAGATTTTCGCGTTCTCGAATCGTGGTTTTAAGCTTTCACATTATTCATGCTGATAACCTGAGTGTCTCTTGATCGCCTAAAACTTCTGGTCTCATCAGATTGTTGCGTAGCATTTCCGTCTCTAATCGGAATAACACTGAGTTTATCTGCCACTAATTCGTTGATTACGAAACCTGTTAGGCCACGATCTCCTCATGAAGATGAAATATTCGAATATCGTTTGAATAGTCTCACGAAGTACATGGTAGGTAAAATAGAATGGCAAACAAGCTCACTTTCGGTGTTTTATAATCATACCAAATACATCACTATAGAAACAATAAATTTATTTGGTTGGAGAGAGGGGGAAGCATCACCGACTATCATTCATCTTCAAATCGGATGTGAACATTGTAAATTTCACTTTTGTTCCGGAGATGGTTAAACACTGGCTATCTGTGATGTAAATGATGATGATGATGATGAGATGTAAATGAATTCGGCATTGCTCAATTCACATTGGGAGTTCAAATACAGTAGTGACCCGGCAGAGGATCGATATACGTGACGAGTGGCAAGAACGGCGAAACTGGTCGTGTACTTCTGAAAAGAATGTTGTCCAGACATTCATATGTATAGTGATGCATGTGAAATAGATCACTAAGAATAAACTTGTTCTATTTCATGTTTCCTGTGGAATAAAACTTACCGGGGTATTAAGTACTGATAACTTCTTTTGATCTTTGTGGTTTAATACGCCCAGTACCACTAGCTACAAACTTGATGAGTGTCAAATAAATATTTCTTCAGACTTGTGCTCCAAGTCAAACACCAAACTCCATTATTCATTTTTCGATCGACATCAGCTTTGGTTAGCAATGCACTTCGGAGGCATATGTAGTCTGTCTCGAGCATCAGTTGGATAAGATACAAAACCGGATCTGATGGCCGAAATAGACCATCCACAACGTTTATTTTAACAGTTGTGGTTTGGTTGTTTCATCTAGCTTGTGCAGATCCTAAAAGATGCAATAATTTTACCCTGCTGGTAAATTTTAAGTGTGAATGTTTGTCGTATTAAGCAAGTTTTCTCTTCTGTAGGTAATATAATATCTAATATATCTGATATTTAATATCTATGGCATCGACGTGAAATTGATTGAGGTTCAAGCGCGTCCCCCTGCCAATCAGATACATTGCTGTTACGATTAAAAATTGAATAAAACAGTGATTGTGTGAGACCATATGTCTTCGCATCCTAATAGACAGTGTTATGCCAGTGCTGAATAATCGAAGTCGAACCATTGTTCGACAATCAAAAAGTATTTCTCACATGAACTACGACGCTCGACCGAAACGATTGATTCTAAAAGGTAGTTAAAGAATTTCAAAAGGTCGTAAAAAGCAGTTGATTTAGTCAGATTAGCAGGTATAGATTAACGGATTGAGTGTTAAAAAGGTTCATTTTAGTGCAGACATGTAAACAACAAATAATGCCCTTAGGCTGTCTCCAAAATTCTTTCCTTTCCATTATTCCAGGAACTTTGTTCTTCGCAATACTTAGCAGTTTAGTGTTTGTTCTTTCTTTATCCCTGTCTACGCAGTCACAAAATTAGAATGCCAGTTTAGTGAGTGAAACAGCTGAATCGAACTGTATGTTCGAGCCATAATCAGGTAAATAAAAAACTCGACAATCTACCTCATTCGATGAAAGGTTTTCGAAATTTGCCATAGCCTATTAAACAGACAGTTAATTTAGAATAACTAATGCATGCATTCGATTTTGGCGCCCTTTTCGTGACAAACCTCGCGTGAATAAACTGGTAGACAAACTTGTGCGACAAATAAATCAGTCATCCCATCCTGCAATTATTCTCTGACACGTAACACAGTCCATTCGAAGTTACTTTGCTAAATCCGGAGACCAGTTGCAAACGGGTCTCTGTGGGAGCAGAACAAAGAGAGGGGATAGGTCTAAAATGCGATTGCATGCGTTTAACGGGAGAGAAATTACTGGTGAAAATGAAAAAACGTTTCGAAATCAAATAATCTCGGATCACTTGGATTGGAACGCTGTGTATCAATGTCGCTCGAGCCGATTTGGTTCGATGCAAATCTTCACAGCTTTCAGTTCCGTGCATCTCAGTCACTTATCCTTGTTCAAGCGCGTTGGACCGTCGGCGTACTTGTTCAACAGTTTCTATGTAAAGACTGATCAAAAGCACTGGATACTTGTTTTGTGCTTGTCTAGACTCATCAGTAATGCTTAGTACTGCTGATTGTGTGCTTGCATTCACTCCGTTTTGTGACCCCTTTTGTTCTCATTCGTTCTCACACGCTCCACTTCATTTGCTATTCCATTAGTTTCTTTTCGAGTGCACTTTACTCCTGGACAATAAACAAGAATAGCCGGTTATCAGTTGTACAACTATAAGTGAATAATGGTGTAAATTCGGACCCACTATCCGTATCGGTTACTCTGAGGAATGCAAAGCGCAACATTTAATTTATTCATCTCTTTTTGACAACACGGTCTCTCTCATTTCATTCGTTTAGTTAGCAGCTGAAAAACATGGTACTTCGGCTGCTGCGAAAAGGCGAATACCTATCGACTCAGCGGTGACTAGTCTGTAAGCGCATTGCTTTAGAGGGTTTGGGGGCACACGATAAACTAGACTGAAAGTGGATTCCGGTCTAATTTAATGGCCTTTATCCACTAGATGACCAAGAATGGCGCTTCCTACGCTCTCTGTTCCTCCGTGCTTTAACCAGCGTGGACAGTGTTGTCTCGCCGTGCGGCCAATGTACGTTGCACTACATACGCACCGGAAAGAGTAGAAGTGGCCAGCGCAGGCAGCCGAACTCTGTGACTAGTTCGGATGATGGGCGAGCCTGTGAACACATGATAATCTAGCTGCGTTGTAGGTTCGCCTCACTGCACGTGTCAGACGTTTGTTCGAGAGGTCCAGTATAGCATCTCCTTGAAAAGGTAGACGGATGAATAATTTCTTCTTTTGAGCGTCTTGAACCTGTTCGAACTCTGGCCTATCCTCCCTCCCCTCTCCCCATCCCAAATGACCTTTCGACCCGGCGTAAAACTGTCCCCTGTAACGGCAAACCCTTGCATGATCTGTACAGGCACGATTATGAATCATTCGAAAACAATTGTTCACC